TTTTAAGTGTGGGAGAGCCATGCTTCGGCACGAATGGGCCGGCTCGACCGGAGTGATACCACGGCCTCACAGAAAACCGACGTGAAGCAACGCTTGCGTTGTGTTTCGTCGTGTGAGTGAGGTTACCGGAGGCCCAATTACCCTCCCCTTCCCCAATCTCCCCAATCCCTGAATCCCCAACGATCCTCAAACTCCTAATCCCCAAAAAGCCGGTAACGCACTTGTAACGCCTCTGGTGTTCCAGGTGTCCATGGGCGACGCCGATTGCTTATCAGGTGATCCGTCTGCATGTTTACCGGCTAATGACATTTAAAAAAATTAACGCGTGTTTCAATTAAGCTAACGCATTATTAAAACACCTTTTTGTAACACTGAGCCTTGTTTTCGAAATGTATCCTTTATGCAGGTACTGGTACAGTTAGTGGCAAATATTTGTGCCAAATACAACACCACACGTTATTCCTTCGACATAGAGTTTCAATTTGGCAAAGTTATATTATCTACTATATAAAAATAAGTCGGGTTTTCCTTCCTAACGCTATAACTCCAGAACGCACGAACTGAACGCACGAACTGAACGCACGGCTTTGCATTCGTTGGAAAGGTCTCGGGCTCCGTGAGGTTTATAGCAAAGAAAATTCACTAATCACCAAACGAAATGTTACATAAAACGAAGCCATCTAATGGCGAAACGGAGTTCGCCGGGTTCGCTAGTCATCAGTATAATTATTGGTTAACTCAAACCTCAACGATAAAACTTGACCAGGATGCTTACTCTTGAAACCAATCTCAATGTCAATGCAATTTCAATCCAATAAAATCTCAACAACTATTCAATGTCGAAACTATACAACCCCTATCGTAACTGTTAAAATAGCATTCAGAGTACGGAATATAAAACCAAACTCATTACCATTTAGTTCATTAAATGTTCACGCAAAACGGATGCAATGGGGGCTAGTATTGCAACTCGAGAGTACGAAATTTCACAATACCAATGTCGATCGATCGGAATTTGATTCAAGAGTAAGCCCCCCAATCAGAATAGTACAATAATAGTAATAACCTTCGAAGTTGGACACACCATATGACATTTTCAAGTGATGTGGTCATATCACTCATCACATCACAATTTTTTAAATACACTTGTTTTTTTATATTGGATGGGTCTGACGTTTGACCACTACCTCGCCTAAGCCAGTGCTTGCCTACGATGGAGCACGTTTACCCATAAGCATTCACTCAGGCCTTGAGGACATCCTCAGGAAATACAGACTCTGGCAAAGAATTTCACTCCTTAGCAGTACGCACAATATCGTATTAATTGATTAGCTTAAGAAGACGTGTTTGTTTATGTATCTACATTTCGACTGTAATGTCAATGTTATTTGTTGGAATGAACGTTTTGATTTTCAAGTAGTGCCCAGTTTTTTACCGTGAACTGTACAGAACAGACCCTGTAAAATAGTATTGTTTTATGAAATAATTTTACCTCAAATTCTTTCTGTGTGTACAATGGACTCTCTTCCATCTGACCTCGCGCCGGTATTTCATTATTCCTGGGAACAAAAAGAGAAGGTACAATTTAATTTCTGTAGTGTTTTATTTTATTTGTTTTTTAAAAAGGGGTTTTTCAATGCTATTGTGTTCGAAGTTGTTCTCAAAGTGATTGCTTAATATTGTAAATTCGTAACATTACACGTATTTGTTGTGGTAAATGAAGGTGTTTGCCCTGCAGTGGAACGATCACGGCAGGAAATAAAAAAAAACATGGATGTATCCTCAGGTCTCAGGTATAACTCATTAAAAAGTTAGCAGGACACATATTCATACACAATGCCCCAGTTTTTTTTTAATTGTTAATGGTGGTATAATTTGGAGTTTCACTTAATTTAAAGAATGTTAGTAGTACCAAAAATTAAGAATATAATAACTAAATTTAAAGATGCAGGGAAAATATATAAAACACTTAAACGGCAATGGGCAGGGCATATGATAAGAGAGAGGAATATGAAATGGACAAAGACAATATCAATGGTATATGAATGGTACCTCAGAGATGGGAAAAGGAGTAAAGGGCGACAACCAAAGCGTTGGGAAGATGACCTAAAGAAAACAGCTGGACCAGAGTGGATGAGAATTGCCAGGGATGGGGAAAACTGGAAATCTTTAGAGGAGGCCTATGTCGAATGGCAAGCTGGGGATAAAAGTACTGATGTATAGTATAATAATAAATAGAGACTAAATTGTAAATTTGTAACCTCAGCAATAAAGGCTTATTTTTTTTTTATTTAAGTAGTACAAGTACTTATGTTCTTTAGGGGTTTTTTTTTAAGGGGGGAAAATCATCGAATGACTGCTCCCGCCTGGGTGAGGCGGAAGGGAGTGTCAGACTATTACTGACTAAAAACCACCCCGTTCCTTCTCCTGCACGTCGAGCCGGAGCCCCGGTTACCCGTTAGGTTCTCCGTAGTACAAGTACTTATGTTCTTTAGGGGTTCATTCCCTTCGGCAAGAGAATAACTTATAATGTCTTACGAAACTAAAGAAACAATTAAAACGTAATAGACATTATCATGAACTTAAACAAAATAATTATCTTTGCCTTGCATAACATTTACGTTAATACTAATTTGAATACACTAAATGTTATTGTTAAGTTGCTTCTATGAAGTAATAGTCCAGTAGCTATTTAGAATAGATTGGCATCTATTTGTTTCGTTATAAAAATCTCATCTACGATTGCATCAGTATGGGGCAAGTCATTTCGAATGTTTCTCTTTAATGTACGCAATAATGCGTGTTAGTGACGTAGCCATTGACTGATAGTGCGTTGAATATCGATAGTTTTGTTGGGGTGGAGCAGCAAATGTGCCTATCTGTAAAACTAGAGGAGTTACAAGTTCGTTGCTAACCCTAATCCCTATAGGATGGGGGGGCGCGAAGAACCTAACGGGTTGCCGGGGCTCCGGCTCGAAGTGCAGTAGTAGGAACGTGGTGGTTTTTAGTTAGTAAGAGTGATACTAAGGCGGGAGAAGACTGTCGATGATTTTCCCCTTACAAAAATGGATGAGGGGGAGGTTAGGAGTTCTAGTACTTGCCTATCTTACTCACACTACGTTAACTACAAACGAAACGATGCAAGCGTTGTTTCACGCCATTTTTTGTTACTCCAGTCGAGCTGAAAATTCGTGGCCCATGCATGAGTCTCTCACGTTTAAATTTCATTTTAGCTACTTAATTTCTGATTAAATTGGGAGTGTAATTTAAAAAAATTCTCAGTAGTAGCACGGAGTGTGGAAAGTGGAATTGTGCCCGGTATATGGCAATAGGCTCAACCCCTATTACATGGGACTTATAACATAAATAGTGAAAAGTGGGTGTTACATTGTACAGTGACATAATGTGCACCTCTGCCTACCCCTTCGGGGATAAAAGGCTTATGTTTATCGATAAAACTAAAATTAACTAGCACATCACTAAAGGGTCATAAGTCGTAGGTCGAATCTTACACACATATAATATGAATACTCAGTGACGTAATATTTACGTAAAACATAATGTATAGTATACTTTTTTTTATTAAGGGGGGAAAATCATCGAATGACTGCTCCCGCCTGGGTGAGGCGGGAGGGAGTGTCAGACTCTTACTGACTAAAAACCACCCCGTTCCTTCTCCTGCACGTCGAGCCGGTTACCCGTTAGGTTATCCGCGACATAATATTATACTATGTTTATTATTTTGTAAGTACGTGAAAACTTTCTCATAAAAAACTCCATAACATAAATAATTCTTCAACATTGATCTTGGGGTATTCTTTTATAATACGACTCTCTCAATTGATTGCTTGACAGTGTTGGATTATAGACGTTGGTACGGTAAGTTTAGGGTACATTATTCAAAAGAGGTAGTTAGTTGACAGGTGAAATAAACTAATAGTTAGTAATTTGTCATTTATATCGAGTTAAAATAAATTACTTGAATCGAGTAGTTTATTAAAATTAGATGTTTTGTCATTTATTTTCTGTTGGTTTATTGGATTTATAAGTTATAAGTTACGACAGTTCTAATGTCACTTGTGTGTCGATGTGTTAAACCATATTAACATCACGCCTTTTTATAATAACTATCGTGAGACATACTAAATTAACTGAAAATCGTGGGTTTCTCACGTGAATATAGAATATGAGAAAAGCTCTACTAGTTTCGAACCATAGAAGGGTTCTTCCTCATGAGTATACATATGTGAGGACCATGTCAGACTTAAGATATTTGTTTTCTCTTGGTTTTGTTTTTTTTTTTTTCTATTTTAGTATGTTCTGTTATTTGTATGTTGCTTCAGGTATGTCTTTACATTATTCTCACATGTGTGTACAATATTGGAATATGTATCAGAGCAATGTAAAACAGACTTTTTTAAAAGAGTAACGAATGGAGTTTCTTGCTCGTTCTTCTCCACTCGAATCGACATTTTGGAACGAGCGCCTAGCTTCACTGACGGACAGACTGACAGACTATTATAAATCTCATATTTGTTGACGTTTCAAAAGTACCAAATTATGGTTTAATTGAAATAAATGCTTTTGAGTTTGAGTTTGAGTTTGAGCAGCGTGCGCGGTCGCGGCGTGAGTAACCCGCGATTGTTAATTAATCACCCCTTTTATCCCCCAAGGGTGCATATTATGGCACTGCCGCCGTACAATGTAACACCCACTTTTCATTCACTATTAATGTTATGAGTCCCATATAATGAACCTATTGCCATATATCGGGCACAATTCCAGACTGTACGCTACTACTGAGATTTTTTTAAGACCCAATAATATTTTGCCCGACCCAGGAATCGAACCCGAGACTCTTTGTCCGGCAGTCGCACTTGCGAACACTCGACCAATAAGGCAGTCGTTTGCCGTGTGGTAAACTTATGTTGTTAAAATCACTCTTCTATGTATTTGACCTATGGAGTAAAATGGGGTTTTAGCACTATAGCCACCATTCGATAAACTTTTATTTCTTCATTTTCGCGACATATCTACTTACCCTATTACTTAGCAAGCATTAACATAAATCCTGAATATAATCTTCTTATTCTAAAAAGGGATAAACAGTGCTTTTTGAAATATTAAACAGCGGTTTTAAACAAGGTCGGATAATTAAAAATTTATGAATGGGTTGTGGTTCAACTTAGAGCGTATTACGTCATTGGTACTGTCTATTCAATTAATTTAGTATTTTCGGCTATAAATGTCTAATTTCTCAAACGGCACTCAAGTTTAAGTATTCTTACATAGTTCTGTCTACAAATTCTTTGTAAAATGACAGAGATGGTATGATATTTAAGTATAACTTAAAATTTCATTTCAGTATTTGGGTGAAAGTAGCAAAGGAATAGATGGATCACCTGATGGTAAGCAATTGGAGCCGCCTACTATAGACATCCGTAACAGTACAGGAGTTAAACCTGCGTTGACGAAATGACGATTTTTGCAGGCGCGGGGATTTGCAGGATCTATACAACGAAACATGACATGTGCCGTGTTTAGCTCGTCGTGGTATGATAAGAAACGAAACTCAAACATTAAAAAACCACCACTTTTCTTGTAGTCTAATGAGATTCCAGGATCCAGAATCTCTTACGTTCACGTCTTTGTGATGCTTTTTGAGAGGAAATTTTTTTTTGTCAAATAAATTTATTTAGAGGAATTTTACAAAGGAGTCGCCTTAAATCTAAACTCGCCAAACTTATACGTTTGATGGCGATTATACAGTGACTTCTTCCGCCTTGGGTGACGCGAGAGGGAGTGGCAGACTCCTACTGACTAAAAACCGCCCGTTCCTACTTTCCACCCTGTTCCTACTCCGTCTTTGGGACTTCTGGGACTAGACTTCATTGTTTCGGTATTTTTAGACTTAGCAGAGGCTAAATTAGAGGACTTTAGATCTTGTTTCTTTCAGTAGTGTTCGGGTAAGTATGTCTGGGTTGTCTCATACAAAAAAAAAAACTGTGCCACGCTACTGCTAACACTGAGCCCCAACCTCACACTTGGTAAACTGTCAATCAAAATTATAACAACTTGATCTAACAAATAACTAAACTAATTTGTATTGTTTACGTAGTCTTGTTTCTAAACTAAAATAGAGTAGAGCTGGATTTAATATACTTTCGTAGAGAAAAATATTTTTTTTTATAGTATTATCTCGTCGAGTACCGGTTTTGTAGACACAATTATAGAACAATAGGTTGCGGTCACCGGTGACCGCTTGGTGTTTGACAGTTTAAATAGGATGTCAAAGCTGCAGACGGATCGCCTGGTGGAAAGCCATCGGCGTCCCTCATGGACAACCAAAACACCAGAGGCGTGCTCGCCGTTTTGGGTAAGGGATTTAAGGATTAGGGATTTATAGATGATATCTATAGTCCATCTGTTTAGGTAATTAACTAAAGGTAAACAAACAAAACCACGTGACACAGAGATACTTAACCTTCTATTACTTCAAATATTTCTCGTGTTTTAATTTAAACTAAATTCACTTTAAAATCGTTTATTTGTCACACAC